AATGGATTGACTGAACGTTTTAACCAGACTTTGTGTACTATCTTAGCTAAATATGCTGAGCAACATCAAGGAGAATGGGACGTCTATTTCTCATCAGCCTTATTTATATATCGCACAGCGCAATAAAAAATAACTAAGTATGAACCCTTTGAGTTACTATACAGATGACATGCTATACTACTTATAGATTTTTAAGTACTATAACCCTTATAATGCAAAGTTGCCACAAATAATAAAATAATATCATTATCTTTTAATAACACAATTGCAACAACATCGACACAATGCACAATAGAATATTTTGCAATAACAGTAAAAGCAAAAGAAGCTTTACAACTAAACACATAAGGGCATAGATTATCAAATTAGAGACAAAGTACTTTATTTAATGTTTTATAATCACATGTATATGGAGACAAATTTAAGAATAAGTTTGATGAACCGTTCTACATTCATAATATTATATAACCTGATACTTATAAGTTGTGAATATTGGATGGATGAATTAGGAAAAACCTGATGCATGTTAATCAACTTAAACCTTATCTTGAAAGAACCAATTAGGAGCCTCAGATTATCATTACAGGTCAGTAAAAATAATATTATAAATACAGTACTTAAATAAACTTAGTCTGTAAGAAAAATGATAAATATCACTATTAATGATTTTATTCTACAAGAATTGCAAAGAACTCTAATTCAAGATTTACCTCTCGAACTACCAAAGTCTTATATTGAGGATATTGAGGATATGCTTTATATTGAGAAAGTTAAACGCATTTATCAAGCTCTTTTGCTAGCATGACGTATGAAAATTGTGTCTGGACTTTAATAAATGCTTTCTTTTTAGACAAACTACTAAATGATGATAATATAATGCCTGCATAGAGGACTCTTCAAAGTCAAACAATTATCATACATTACTATAAATGGTTGACTTATATTTATTTTCTTTTTGAAAATTTAGGAAGCAAACAAATTCTGAATACATGTTCTTTAATATTGATTTGAATTAAATGACTTAAAACTAAGGAATATTAGGATCTCCTTAACCGTACTCTAGAAATTTCTGTTAAAACAGAAATCTTAAGGGGAGTAATATGACTAGATGTTGATCTTGATGATCATGAATCTACAATTGTATGACGAAGTACAAATGTCGATAATGTTAAACATATTTAACATATCTAATATGTTTAATATAGCTAATATGTCTAACATAATTAATATAGTAGATATAGTTAATATAGTTGATATAGTTAATATAGTTAATATATTAGAAATATCAAAATATGTAATAGAATAGATATAAATATAACCTCTTTGACAATTTGAAGAGACAAGACTGATGGCTGTATAGAACCTCTCTTGTAAAAGATAACGTAATGCTACTCTTCATTTTGTGTATCTCTGCTTCTTATTTTCTTTTCTTATTTCTTCCATATATTATTATATTATTATTTTCTCTTACTTCAATAAAGTATTTACTATTTCTTATCTAAAACTCTTCTTAAACTTACTGTAATAACTCTTAACTTGTGAATTGAAGCCGCTTGCGTCTAATAAACTTGATTTAACTTAATAAATTAGTAATAAATTAGCTAAGATTCTTGTAACTAACTGGAATTATTATATAGACTATAAAAGAGTCAACCCTTTAACACTGTGTCTAATAATTGTAATTCGAAAAGATTGCATATTAACAGTACATTTTTTTAATTATTAATGCATTTAGTTCTTATCTAACTAAATAGCATCACATCATGAGTTCCCTTATAGAACATGAGAAATATATCATCTTATATTTGTGAGAAATTATTTTTAACTTGCTAACTTATTAAATAATGCTTTATTGATTAAAGAACAATTTTCTTTTTTATTTTTTTTTTAAAAAATATTCTTATAATACATTGATTATATGCATTTCTGACATTCTTTTTCACATTAAATTGCATATTAAGAGTAGATGATATTTTTAAGATTCTCTCAAACTAAAAAAAGGATTTATTATTTAAAGAACAATAGTTCCTTTTTTATTTAAATTATTTTCTCACATTTTCATTGATAAGCGTTTAATAGTAATGATTTATTATTTTATATTTTTAACTAATAATGTATAATAAGTAGATTCTTCTTGCATTTTGATTGATATGCATAAAAACATAAGATGATTTCTTATTTAAAAATTCTTATGACTTTTCTGTCATCATTTGAAAAAAAATTCTTTATTATATAAAAAGTATGGTTTCTTTTTTATTTAAAATTTTTTTTATATTTCATTCTAAAATGATATGCAATAGTTAGTTAGTTGATCTAATTAATGTTAACTTTAAAATTTAAATTTACAAAAAAGATATTAAAAGTATCTTGTTAAAAAAAAAAAATACAATGACACATTTGTTTTATTCAGAATTTGTCAAGATGTGTGTCATTTTGATATATGATAAGAACTTTAGGAAAATAATAAAGAAATTTTTTGAAAAGAGCAATAATACACATTTATTCATTATTACATACATCTTTTTCTCATCAGCAATACATTTGATTCCTATCTTACTAAATAATATCAATTTATTAATTCTTTTACAGAACTTGAGAAAGTTTGATTATTATCTTGAGAAAAAAAATCATTCAGCATGTCATATTTAAAAAGAAAAGATCTCATAAAGAAATCATTATATGACTTGATCAATTTTTAATAAAACTTTGCATTATTCTCCAAAATCTTTACAAAACAATCATAATATATGATAAGCAAAAATAATAAATCTTTTGACTATTATATAGTTATTGGTATTAGTATATTAATGATGTATTTTAATCTTATCTGTATAATATTTATGTATTTATCATAATCACTAAATTCTTTTTTTATAGATTTCAGAACTAATTATTCAGTACAATATAAATGTTTAATGATTTTTAATACATAAATCATATATCTTAATCTTATACTTTGTATTTATTTAAGATTTCACATATGTATATAAAAGAGCTCAAAATAAAATTGATACAGTTCCCGGTAAAAAGAATGGTAGTGCAATCTTTTACTATATAATTAACTTTTTTTTAAAGGATTTGTATAAACAACTATATTGTATTTTATATGTATTACTAGTCCAAATTCTATGTGTATTGTTTGAAATCTGCAATGCATATTTTAATATGAATAAAATTATTGCGATCGTGAAATAAGGTCAAATTTGAGTGTTTGATTATTAAAATTATGATTACAAAAAATTTTACTATGTTAACGAGCTTCATTTACTAATAAAAAAGTGTTCAACTAAATATTCTACAATAGAAATAATATATTCTAACTAAAAAAGTAGAAAATAGAAAGCGTGAAATTAAATTAATATGAAAAAAGGCTAACTTTCTAATTTTTTTGTATTTTAACTTGTATTTAAATCCAGATTAACAGAAAAAGAGAATACTTTTTATATTTTAATTTTTTGAGTGTATAATTTCTTAATCAAAAGCATTTAAGAATAAAAAAAATTTTGAAAGTTATTTATTAAAAACTTTTATTATTCAAAAAAAACTTACTGCCATTCTTTTCGCCAGGGATTATATACATATAAATTGGTCAGAATTTACTAAACAGTTTAAAACACTAATAGCATTATTATATGATGAGAGATTTAAGAATCTTAAAGCATGGGGATTCTCAGCATTAGCAGAATGACCAACCAGGAAAAATATTAATACTATCTCTAAACCTGTAGAAAGATTTATACTTCATTTAGGAAAAATGGAAAATAAACCTCCTTTACCTTATAAACTTAATTATAAAAAAGCTATTACTGATTACTTTTGGAAATTGACTAAAGTTATAAAAGTGACTATCTCTAATCATTAGAAAATTAATTTTTTTACTTAAGTTTTACTCATATTAATGATAAATGAAATCAATTATTTTTTTCATTAAACTTTTATGAATTTAATTAATCTTTAATTTTTTTAAAAAAATAAATAAATAAATAAAAAGATTTCTTCTGAATTTGATGATAATGAAATTGTAATTATGAAAACATGCGCCTTTGAAGCAGGACTATTGAAGAATTTGAATAGTCAAAATTTAGTATTTCTAACATAAAATAAGTATATGTCATGTGATAAATACGTTATTTTTTACAGCTGTCTAAAATATTCTTCAAGCAGCTGAAGCTGCTGCAGTTTATTATATAAAATCCTTAAATCAGCATAATTTATGACCTAGTAGTGAGTACTAATAAAACTGATCAAAAAATGCAAGCATAAATTTGATTCAATTTTAAAATAAACCTTTTATTAATAAACTATATAGTTGTTAATTGTAGTGATAAGACCGTAGATTTAATAACTTGACAATTCATGGATAATGATAAATTAAGTGAAATTATAGAGAGAATTGGAAATTATTCTAATAGAAGTTACTTAAATCAAGAATTCTTTAAGTTTTTAGGATATAGAGTCAGTATTTTTATAATAAATCAGGTAATAAATAAATATAATTACGAATTTCAGTATATGGTACAAGAATTTTGTAGACAAATTAAGATAAAGTTTATTGAATTAAATCAGAATTTTCTACTATTGACTTAGATTTAAATAGTAATATATTAATTCTTATTCTTATTATTTATTATTATAATTATTATTAAGGTTAATAATCTATTTATTTCCTTTTAAAAAAAAAAAATACTTTTTAGAACTTTGTCCTATTTTAGTAAAATACTATAAAGGAGAATACTTGCATAGGTTGGAATAAGATTATTGGATTGTTTGATTAAATTTTGAAGATATTAAAGCAATGTTTAATCTAGTTATAGAAAGAATTATATAATTAGTCAATGCTTAATTGCTTTCAAGCAATAATTGTTCTGCATTAATATTGATCAGTGAATTTAATATGTCAAAATATTTACAATTAAGAATTAAACAAGAATTCAATACAAAAGTATGAGTCATTTCTATACCTTTCTAATCAGATACTACTATAATGAAAGGAGGTAAAAATGAAGTACATTAAACTTGTAATCAATAATTATGTTGAAACTGAATATTTAATTTACATAAATTTAGCTATACAATATGGTTTGAGAGAAGTCGTACTGTAGTTTCTATGCGTATTTTGAAATGAACATATGGTGAATATGTAAATTATATTTGGATATATTTACATATTTTAACATTTATTTAAGATCTTAATTTTAAACATTATAATTTCTCAATAGGAACTGATATTATGGGTAAATGGATACAAGGTGACCCAGAAGAAAGAAAATTACCTGATGGTAGAATTACTACATTTAACAGACTAGCAAAATGAGATACACAAGTAGCAGTTGATAAGAAAGTAACTAGATCATATTTATTTAATGCATTATAGCATAAAATAAGTTTTGATATATATATTACACCAGAAGATGATTTGAAATATATTGATGACCTACTTGTTAAGTCATTTGGAAAATGGTTTATTGAGCTGCCTCTCTTCTTACAAGATAATGATCATTCTATTTTTATTTACACTGACATTTGGTAGCGTTGAAATTCAAGCCACCGCTATTAATACTGATACAGGTGATATCTATGAAACAACATTTGATTTATATATATAAAAATATATTTTTTATCCTCCTTTTCTTTTAATAGTATATATATGTGTAAGAATAATTTGATGAATCAATGAAATCTCATTTAATTGTTTCTATTTAATTTTATTAAATCATTTGTTCAAGTTAATTAAAATAAAAATAAATAATGTGATACCAATATGAAAAATACATTATTATAAGTTTACATACTCTTGAGCATTTGATGTTGTATATCATTTTTTTGAGTGCTATCTGGATTGTCAGTAATAAGTTCCATCATTTGTTGCTTCAGTAGGATAATAATAATCCGATTCATCCAAGTAAAATTGATGTGGTGGAGATTTATCATTTTTATCATTTGATTCTTCTTGATCGAATTGATTATTTTCTGCTGATTTTATTCCGGTGATGGTTTTTTTGATTTTGTAACCTACAACATAAACTGGTAAGACCTTTGCAGGGGTATAAGTTTTCAAACCATTTGTATCTGAATAGATTAGCGGAAAAGAACAAACTTCAACAACCAAATCATCCTCATCTTTCCTCCAGCTGCCTTTCATATAGGACTTATCGATTTTAATATTATATTTAAATCAGTAAAATAGAGCTTTCGGTTCTTGAATATTAGAACGAAAATAAAAAATTCTAAAAAAACATTTCGAATAAAATCTTCTGCTAACATATCCTCATACTTTTTTTATCCATGTCATTAATAACACGACACGATAATCGTTCATCATCTCATTAATTTTTTTTAAGATATGACGTATATAGTCATGCACGGACCTTTTGATATCGCTAAACCCTCAAGACCAAGCGCAGCATAAACTTGAAACACAAATAACCCATACAATTTTACCTCCTAGAGTTGGAAATTTGGATTCAAGAAATTTGGATTCAAAATCATTAATTTAAACATAGCTTCCTTAATTTCAAAATGAATAGATAAAGTGAATTTCAATACTACAGAATTATATTTGCCTTATAAATTTGAATTACTATTGAGAGAAAGTCGAGACGGATTAACTCCTAAAACGTTTCACACGTTATGTGACTATAAGCCTATGACTGTCACCTTTATTAAAACAAATGGAACAAAATGAAATTATTGGTAGATACAATCTTCTAATATGAAAATTTATTGGGGGATGGGATATAAACATAAATAGTTTTATTTTTTTGTTTGATCTTTTAAAGATTTTCATAATTGTATTGTTGACATTTAATTGTATTATAATCTGTTTGTTCTGATGAAGAATATATTAAGAGTAGATTTAAAGAATTTTTCCATTGAAAATTACGAAGTATTCCAATTATTAGAAAGTAAACTATTTTATTATGAATTTAACTAATTACTGGAACCTTATTTGATCATTATCCATTATTACGCTGATTAAAAATGCTTTTATAGTTTTTAAGATAGAAACTACTGAAATAAGAGTAGGAGAGACGTGGACTGAAATATATACAATAGTTGATTAATTTAATATAGCATTACTTGATTTGCAGCTACTTGTTTAATTAATTCGTACCATACTGTTCTGGTTCTATAATGAATATTTTAATATCAAGGATCGAAATTTATTTAATTGTAAGCTAAATAATTCTCATGCAATATCTATAGGCTGCAATTTCTGATATTTCTGCACCTCTGTTACAAATGAAAGGATTTTTTTTTGATACAGTCGACCCAGGTCGTGTTTTTTAGATAGGTCCTATACTGTATATTGATAGTGAACATCAATATGTACCCAGAAACTTATAAAGTAATATACATATATCAAAAAAAAAATTCAATTTCTTTCTCTATGATGGATTCAAATTGAGATTTCATCCGTCAAATTCTGATTAGATATTACGATATCATGGTAACATTGGACGATATTTTAAGATCTATGAAATGTTAGGATTTGGCAAGCTTACGATAAGGCCATGCAACTTCGATTTTTCAGTTCACGTAAAATTGAAATTTAAAAATTGACCCAGAAACCTGGAATTTATTAATGAAAATTTTTTATTAATAAAAAAAGTTTATATTATGCCATCTGATTGGTCAATCTTTAAGGGGACAAGGCCATATAAAGTAAATTTTCAGATTCTGTGACCCGGCTATGTCAATTTATCGAAAATTCAGGATTTTTTTTTTTATAGTAAAATTTTTATCATGTGATTTTATATAATAAAATTGGCATATCAGATTTTTTTTAAAAGAAAGCGGCGAAATAACAATACAAAAAAAAAATTACTTATGAAAAAGAAAAAAAAAACTGGGTGGCCGTGTCAATTTTAAAATTTTATCTAAAAATTTTTTTTGCCCGCCCTAATCATACGACAATCACACTCCGTCAAAATGCCTATTATACACAGAAAAATAAGTTACAATTCTAAAGTTTTGAAAAATTGGGAAGGTTTACCTGTTGAGTAAAACAAGAAACAAAATAAAAGATTTTTTTTGAAATATATCGATTCTATATTTATCACCTAACTGATTGCTTAGGAAGCTACATGAAAATTAATGAGTAATCTACCAATAAAATTACACTTATAGTCACATGATAAACTTTTTATATTTAAACTTATTTTTGATAAAATTTGAAATCGAAGTTGCATGACCTAACAGCTGTTATACTTTTATATACCACCAATGAACAGGAAGATTTCTAGGAAATCAGGATATGGGAATTTTTAACAAGATTTTGATTTTATTGCATTTTAGTTTTTGATGTTATTAGATTCAAATGAAATAAAGTCTTAATTCTATCAAAAAAAATTCTCGGCCTGATTTCTTAGCAAACTTTCCAGATAGAGTCTTATACATACAATATATGATTTATATAAAATACGTCTATAATAAATGTTCTATTACATTGTCATAACGGTTTTCAACACTTTGTTCATGCTAAATGGGTCGTAAATCACTGAGGTAGTCTGGTGTTACCACATTTACGACTTGATGTTGTTTCACTGAATGATATTTCCCAACTCCAAGATAATTGATGAAAAGCTCTTCCCAAATTATCTGATTTTATTATTACACATTCCAAGATGTTTTAATTTATACGGCCTCAACATTTAATTTTAATTTGGCTCTACAATAGTTTATAAATCATTTAAATTTCATTGAATCATATTTAGAGATTCTAGAGATGTGAATATTAAACCCCTTGATCCACTGATTTACATTGTAGATAAAGAAATATTTTTTCTTTTTTGTCGTGGAAAATCAAAAATATTTATGTTACTAAGCTTACAAAACTAGTTCAATAATGGTTTAAAAGAATTAAATCGCCTTTTAACTTACAAGTATTTTGGCTACGACGATATTGGAAACAAGTTTCAATTTGTTTTTTATAAATTTAATTTTTTTATTAGGCTCCTTTCGATTTTTACGACTGCGTCAAATATTGGATGTAAGATGCTTAGGTTTTTTATGATGTTTTCGTCTTGTTTCTTCATTCACAGGAAAAAAAAAATCAGAAAGATATTAATAAATATGGTGGTATCGGAAAAAATCAAAAAAAAAGTCTCTTGAAGTAAAAACAGAGAGGCGAAGTTAATAAAAAGACTTTCTGACTATTATGATTTGCTTTATGGTTTGAATATTCAGCTATCACGTATTTATTAAATTCATTACTATGCTGGAATTATTTATTAAATTCGATATCCCATAGGAATGTTTGTATTTTCTTCACTTAGTTCTTTCATTACAGAAAAAGAAGGAGAAAAATCTGAAAATGTAGAGAAAATTGAAGAAGTAGAAAAAGCAAGAGAAGTAGGAAAGAATGGAAAATGAAGGAGAAATAAGCTAAGAAGGTTAGAGAATGAAAAAGAAAGTGAAGAGAAAGGAAGAAAGAAAGAGAAGAAACAGCTATATAAGAAGGAAAGAAAAAGAAGATACAGTTATTAAAGGGGTAGACAAATAGGGAACTGAAGAGGGAATAGAAGAAAGAGAAGTTGAAAAATAGTTTATCTTCTTGGTATGACAACAGCACGTGATCCTTTGAATGTGAACCTATTGTATTTTTTGAGTCATTATTTTAAAAGAATACTTGAAATAATAAAATGTAATTTTTTTTTTTGGTTTACTTCTTTTTATTTTTTAAAAAAAAATAACAATACGAAAAATGATACCCACCAAAAAGTAAAGTTGGAATAAAGATAAATGTGGCCAATGAACAATCATCGACGTTCATCTAAATTTTTGTTAATGTTTTCAAAACGTTTTTCTAAGGCGGGTTACAAAACTTGTTTTTTTAAGACAAAAAAAACCTTTATTGTTATATGATTATGTAAGTATTTTTTTTCTTTACAATTTAATGGGTTTTTATTTTTTACGCACCTGCGCAAAATGCAGGGGTGCGTAAAATACATGTAAAATTTTAAAATACAATATTTTTACGCATGGTATATAATTTTTAAAAATTTTATTAAAATTTAAGCAATGCATTTTGATTTTTGTACGCTCCCCTATATTACAATAAAATTAAATAAAATGTTTCGCAATAATAAACTTTCATTACCAAATTTGTCTAATAAGCAAATAGCAAATAGCATTTCTCAAGTGTTGATAAAATGAAAATTAGTTTTTGCCTTCCCCTCAGCGGGCTCAAATTACTACTGTAATTTGAGTATATTAATTAAACATTCTAAATACTAATCATCATTCTTTCTTTTTTTCCATTGGACAGACATGTAGTATGATTATGTCCACTTTCATTGTATAATCCACATTTGCGAGCTTTGTTAACATTATTAGAAGTTTCTAAAGGTCCTTTGAATCTGCAGTATCTGGTGGTCGTCCTTTTGGATGCCTACTTTCACTATCATCTAGAATATTTTCGATAAAATCGTTAGGAAATTTTTCATTATCTGAATAATCACTTGAAAGTGATTCTTAAACACTCATTTTAAGGATATTCAACAATAATATTTATAAAAAAAATATATATATATATAGGGAAAGAGAGAATAAAAAGAAGAGAGAGAAAGAAAAGAGCCGTGGGTACCATTGATTAAACAATTGATTTATTTAAAAGTCTAATAAATGATCGTGCACATGATCATATGGACTGCGCATCAAAAAAACTACGCATGGGATGTATATTACACACCCATGTAAAATTCATATTTAATAATATACTATAAATGCATAGAAAAAAAAATCTGCATGGGTGCATCTTGTGCAGGGTGCGCAAAATACAATTTAATATTGATTTATTATTCGTCGATTTTAAAAATATTTGTCGTATAATTAAAGAAAGAATAATTAGGCGATTAATAAATAAAAATTTTATTATGCAAAACAAATTTACGCATTGTACTAAATTTGGATTTTATGTTACCGACCATTAATTACCGCCTTTTAAACCTAAGTGCTTAAGATAACTTTAATCAAAATACTTAAGGTTTCTATAAAAAAAAAAAAATTGAGAATGCAAAGTATTTTAACGTTGATAGATGATTTCATAGTTCAAAGTTAAGAAGAAATAAAGAACTTATAAACGTACTTTGCTTTAAATAATAATTCTATTAGAGAAACTATTATTATGAACGATGAGGC